ACCCTGCCAAATTTTACAATGTTTAAATCGTAATGTAGAGAAATCACATGAGAATGGAAGAGTGTATTGCCATTTTAGAAATACCAGCTTTGAAATGTGATTTTCTTTGTGAGAAGGTCATGAAAAAGGAAATAATTTTCTAACAAAATTAAATATACTATTTTCTTTCTTTTTTTTTATTAAATGATAGCTGTGTACATTAATGCAGTCATGGGGGTACAGTGTGGTGTTTTCATATGCAATTTGAAATATTTTCATCAAACTGGTTGACGTAGCCTTTATGTCATTTTCTTAATTATTATGCTATGTTTATATTCTGCTTTTAGAAAGATTCACTTGTACCCTTGTAAGATAAGCCATAGAGGTGATCCCTCCAATCACCTCCCCCCTCCCCATATTGGTAGACTATAATTAGGTTATAGCTTTCATATAAATTAGTTTCATAATAGGGCTGTGTACATTGGATACCTTTTCTTTCATTCTTGTGATACTTTGCTAAGAAGAACACTTTCCAGCTCCATCCATGTAAACATGAAGGAGGTAAAGTCTTCATCTTTATGGCTGCATAGTATTCCATGGTGTATATATACCACAGTTTATTGATCCATTAGTAGATTAATGAGCACTTGGACTTCTTCCATGACCTGGCAATTATGAATTGGGCTGCAATAAGACTATTTACTTTCAATGGTTTTCTTTTCTTTTAAGTTTTACATTGGGGTTCATGTTAGCCTACAAAAGAGTTCCAAACTTTGCTATCCGAAGAGTGATTCTAGGACTAAAAGCATCACCCTGGAAACACGTTATAAATGCAGAATCTGAGACACTACAATGAACACAGTAAATTCAAGTGTGCATTTACACATAATCTCTGGGTAATTCATATATATTTAAGTTTGAGAAGGACAGGTCTAGACAGTGGTCAAACATCTATGTATCTTGCATAGTCTTTTTCTATACTGATGAAAAATATTGCAAATTTAGGAAAAGGCATGAATATACGTTGGAAAATTGCAAGTCCTCAAGGGGGAACACGAGGAGGGAAAGGCAACAAAAGGATAAAAGGTACTGAGACAAGAAAGAGGAATAATTGCTCAGGGGCTCTATTCTTCTCCTGTCCAACTACTGGAAAGTAGATGAGTGCTGCTTACTGCTTTAATTCAATTCTTTATCTTTTGCTAGCAAGGGAAAATTTATTCTTTGAAAAGCCTCTGAGGTGGTGCAGGTTGAAAGCAGAATAGGAATTGGTAGAGCTCATAGAATTACAGAACCAAAACATACCTTCACATTCCCTTCTGTCAGGCTTCATCAGGAGGACCAGAGCACAAAGATTACACTGCTGGCAGCAGCGCCAGGATTTGGGTTCTAATAAAGTATTCAAAGAAAGCCAGTTATCAGTACAATTGTGACTATCACAGTGTGAACAGCTGGAATATTCCATCACCTTATCTCCCATGGTCCTTTCAATCTTAAAAAAGAAAAGTCATAAATAGGAGCAGAATTGTTGAACTCTCTGGAAAACCTGGAAACAGAGTCCTGAAGCCTCGAAATACAGAACCTAGCCAAAACTTTGGGTTTTGTTTACTTCTTAGGCCAGTTGGGGGACAAAGAAGAGAATCAAGTTAAGTGCATATCTGTAATTGTATCTGTTTTCTCATGCAATTCTTAACAATAGTCTTTTGAAACAGATATGATCGTTCTGTTTTTTCACATTAATAACTAAACCACAAAGTAAATGCCTTAAGTTTACACACCCAGGTTTCTATCACTAACTCCAGCAATTTACCTACTCTACTACCTTACCTCTAGAGGTAGTCAAAAAACTAGAAATAATTAAATGAAATTACATGTAATTAGATGCAAAACTAAAAGTACAGTGATGATCTAAAAAGCTAAATATACAGTATTGCAAATGAAATAATTAAATGTGTCAATTATTTGCTATACTAAATTTTGTTTACATAGAATTTCTCCTTTTATTAATAATGGGAAAGATGTTCTAGAATAAATGTGCTCCATTTTGATAAACAAGCAGTCATAAAATTACTTTGTCATGGTGGTCTAATTGGTTGCAAACTTTAGCTACACATAATAATATAATTAATATCTAATTGATTCTCTTATTAATTAAATGAAACTAAGTGCACATTGGTAATAAATGCATACCTTTGTTCAACCATGATTTGAAATACAGGGTCTCTCTTTTTCTTAACTAAATAACTCTTAAATACCATGAACTTAATTCATTGTCCCTTTATACCCAGCCTAACCTGTATGGTTTGGAGTTACCTTCAGTATCAGTACCAAATTGCATGATACCACCTGATCTAGAATTTCTTGAATAAATTACCCAAACACTTCCATGCCATGAAATGCTTATTCCCACAGAGTTAAACAGAAAAGGAATAAACTTCATCTCATTGAGACATTTTAAAAATTATTTTTCTGAATCTCTTATTCACTCATTTTATTCAAGATTTCTTACATTCCACATTTGAACATCACAATTATATTCCAGTAGATTTGAAATTTATATTTTTCTGCAGTGCGTGCACATAATCACATTTCTTTTTTAACATCCAGGCAGCTACATACAGTGTGAGAGTCTAATTTTAGATCAGAACAGTTAATGCTCAACAAACACTATGCAACAAAAGAAAAAAAAAGGGAGCAAAGTATAATGCTAAAAATAAGTGTTATTTTTCATGTGACAGAACAAGTTGACTCAGAAAAATACTTGTTGTGGATTCTGTACCATCCATATCAAGTGCTTCTCAGAGTCACAATATAAGGAATTTCTTCAATAGCTAAGATGTGTTCAATTAAGTTACTAAAATCACAGAAGCTTATATTTAGACTATACTTATCCCCTACCCTTTTATTTACCTTTACATAACAGAAAGCAGGGAAATGGGATTATAATCTCAAGGTAAGTGATCTATAAATGCAACCCAACCTTTTGCCTGTGTAGCGATACTAATAAAAACAGTAGTTCAATTTACGTTTGGAAGGTTGTGTGCCTTAACCAGATGTTTCCTTTCCCTGTTTCCATTAACCTGTAGCTGTGAGTTCTC